GAGCGACTGGTGTAGCACCACCGTCAGCGAGGCTGGTGTAGCGACGACACCACCGTCAGCGTGGCTGGTGTAGCGACGACACCACCGTCAGCGACGGCGTGGCTGGTGTAGCGACGACACCACCGTCAGCGAGGCTGGTGTAGCGACACCACCGTCAGCGTGGCTGGTGTAGCGACGACACCACCGTCAGCGTGGCTGGTGTAGCGACGACACCACCGTCAGCGAGGCTGGTGTAGCGACGACACCACCGTCAGCGAGGCTGGTGTAGCGACACCACCGTCAGCGTGGCTGGTGTAGCGACGACACCACCGTCAGCGAGGCTGGTGTAGCGACGACACCACCGTCAGCGTCAGCGAGGCTGGTGTAGCGACACCACCGTCAGCGTGGCTGGTGTAGCGACGACACCACCGTCAGCGAGGCTGGTGTAGCGACGACACCACCGTCAGCGAGGCTGGTGTAGCGACGACACCACCGTCAGCGAGGCTGGTGTAGCGACGACACCACCGTAGGCTGGTGTACGACACCACCGTCAGCGAGGCTGGTGTAGCGACGACACCACCGTCAGCGAGGCTGGTGTAGCGACGACACCACCGTCAGCGAGGCTGGTGTAGCGACGACACCACCGTCAGCGTGGCTGGTGTAGCGACGACACCACCGTCAGCGAGGCTGGTGTAGCGACGACACCACCGTCAGCGAGGCTGGTGTAGCGACGACACCACCGTCAGCGTGGCTGGTGTAGCGACGACACCACCGTCAGCGAGGCTGGTGTAGCGACGACACCACCGTCAGCGAGGCTGGTGTAGCGAGCGACACCACCGTCAGCGTGGCTGGTGTAGCGACACCACCGTCAGCGTGGCTGGTGTAGCGACACCACCGTCAGCGAGGCTGGTGTAGCGACACCACCGTCAGCGAGGCTGGTGTAGCGACGACACCACCGTCAGCGAGGCTGGTGTAGCGACGACACCACCGTCAGCGAGGCTGGTGTAGCGACGACACCACCGTCAGCGAGGCTGGTGTAGCGACGACACCACCGTCAGCGTGGCTGGTGTAGCGACGACACCACCGTCAGCGTGGCTGGTGTAGCGACACCACCGTCAGCGTGGCTGGTGTAGCGACACCACCGTCAGCGTGGCGACACCACCGTCAGCGAGGCTGGTGTAGCGACGACACCACCGTCAGCGAGGCTGGTGTAGCGACGACACCACCGTCAGCGAGGCTGGTGTAGCGACGACACCACCGTCAGCGAGGCTGGTGTAGCGACGACACCACCGTCAGCGTGGCTGGTGTAGCGACGACACCACCGTCAGCGAGGCTGGTGTAGCGACGACACCACCGTCAGCGAGGCTGGTGTAGCGACGACACCACCGTCAGCGAGGCTGGTGTAGCGACGACACCACCGTCAGCGTGGCTGGTGTAGCGACGACACCACCGTCAGCGAGGCTGGTGTAGCGACACCACCGTCAGCGAGGCTGGTGTAGCGACGACACCACCGTCAGCGAGGCTGGTGTAGCGACACCACCGTCAGCGAGGCTGGTGTAGCGACACCACCGTCAGCGAGGCTGGTGTAGCGAGGCTGGTGTAGACACCACCGTCAGCGAGGCGACGACACCACCGTCAGCGAGGCTGGTGTAGCGACACCACCGTCAGCGTGGCGACACCACCGTCAGCGAGGCTGGTGTAGCGACACCACCGTCAGCGAGGCTGGTGTAGCGACGACACCACCGTCAGCGAGGCTGGTGTAGCGACGACACCACCGTCAGCGAGGCTGGTGTAGCGACGACACCACCGTCAGCGAGGCTGGTGTAGCGACGACACCACCGTCAGCGAGGCTGGTGTAGCGACGACACCACCGTCAGCGTGGCTGGTGTAGCGACGACACCACCGTCAGCGAGGCTGGTGTAGCGACGACACCACCGTCAGCGAGGCTGGTGTAGCGACACCACCGTCAGCGAGGCTGGTGTAGCGACGACACCACCGTCAGCGAGGCTGGTGTAGCGACGACACCACCGTCAGCGAGGCTGGTGTAGCGACGACACCACCGTCAGCGAGGCTGGTGTCGCGACACCACCGTCAGCGAGGCTGGTGTAGCGACGACACCACCGTCAGCGTGGCTGGTGTAGCGACGACACCACCGTCAGCGAGGCTGGTGTAGCGACGACACCACCGTCAGCGTGGCTGGTGTAGCGACACCACCGTCAGCGTGGCTGGTGTAGCGACGACACCACCGTCAGCGAGGCTGGTGTAGCGACGACACCACCGTCAGCGAGGCGTCAGCGTGGCAGCGAGGCTGGTGTAGCGACGACACCACCGTCAGCTGGTGTAGCGACGCTGGTGTAGCGACACCACCGTCAGCGAGGCTGGTGTAGCGACGACCACCGTCAGCGAGGCGTAGCGACGACACCACCGTCAGCGAGGCTGGTGTAGCGACGACACCACCGTCAGCGAGGCTGGTGTAGCGACGACACCACCGTCAGCGAGGCTGGTGTAGCGACACCACCGTCAGCGAGGCTGGTGTCACCGTCAGCGAGGCTGGTGTAGCGACGACACCACCGTCAGCGTGGCTGGTGTAGCGACGACACCACCGTCAGCGTGGCTGGTGTAGCGACGACACCACCGTCAGCGAGGCTGGTGTAGCGACACGACACCACCGTCAGCGAGGCTGGTGTAGCGACGACACCACCGTCAGCGAGGCTGGTGTAGCGACGACACCACCGTCAGCGTGGCTGGTGTAGCGACGACACCACCGTCAGCGAGGCTGGTGTAGCGACGACACCACCGTCAGCGAGGCTGGTGTAGCGACGACACCACCGTCAGCGAGGCTGGTGTAGCGACGACACCACCGTCAGCGAGGCTGGTGTAGCGACGACACCACCGTCCGTGGCTGGTGTAGCGACGACACCACCGTCAGCGTGGCTGGTGTAGCGACACCACCGTCAGCGAGGCTGGTGTAGCGACGACACCACCGTCAGCGAGGCTGGTGTAGCGACGACACCACCGTCAGCGAGGCTGGTGTAGCGACGACACCACCGTCAGCGTGGCTGGTGTAGCGACGACACCACCGTCAGCGAGGCTGGTGTAGCGACGACACCACCGTCAGCGAGGCTGGTGTAGCGACACCACCGTCAGCGTGGCTGGTGTAGCGACGACACCACCGTCAGCGAGGCTGGTGTGCGACGACACCACCGTCAGCGTGGCGACGACACCACCGTCAGCGAGGCTGGTGTAGCGACGACACCACCGTCAGCTGGTGTAGCGACGACACCACCGTCAGCGTGGCTGGTGTAGCGACGACACCACCGTCAGCGAGGCTGGTGTAGCGACGACACCACCGTCAGCGAGGCTGGTGTAGCGACGACACCACCGTCAGCGTGGCTGGTGTAGCGACGACACCACCGTCAGCGAGGCTGGTGTAGCGAGGCTGGTGCGACACCACCGTCAGCGAGGCTGGTGTAGCGACGACACCACCGTCAGCGAGGCTGGTGTAGCGACGACACCACCGTCAGCGTGGCTGGTGTAGCAGACACCACCGTCAGCGTGGCTGGTGTAGCGACGACACCACCGTCAGCGAGGCTGGTGTAGCGACGACACCACCCACCGTCAGCGTGGCTGGTGTAGCGACGACACCACCGTCAGCGAGGCTGGTGTAGCGACGACACCACCGTCAGCGAGGCTGGTGTAGCGACGACACCACCGTAGGCTGGTGTAGCGACACCACCCGTCAGCGTCAGGCTGGGTGTAGCGTGGCTGGTGTAGCGACACCACCGTCAGCGAGGCTGGTGTAGCGACGACACCACCGTCAGCGAGGCTGGTGTAGCGACGACACCACCGTCAGCGTGGCTGGGTGTAGCGTACGACACCACCGTCAGCGAGGCTGGTGTAGCGACGACACCACCGTCAGCGTCAGCGAGGCTGGTGTAGCGACGACACCACCGTCAGCGAGGCTGGTGTAGCGACGACACCACCGTCAGCGAGGCTGGTGTAGCGACGACACCACCGTCAGCGAGGCTGGTGTGGACACCACCGTAGGCTGGTGTACGACACCACCGTCAGCGAGGCTGGTGTAGCGACGACACCACCGTCAGCGAGGCTGGTGTAGCGACACCACCGTCAGCGTGGCTGGTGTAGCGACGACACCACCGTCAGCGAGGCTGGTGTAGCGACGACACCACCGTCAGCGAGGCTGGTGTAGCGACGACACCACCGTCAGCGTCAGCGAGGCTGGTGTAGCGACGACACCACCGTCAGCGAGGCTGGTGTAGCGACGACACCACCGTCAGCGAGGCTGGTGTAGCGACGACACCACCGTCAGCGAGGCTGGTGTAGCGACGACACCACCGTCAGCGAGGCTGGTGTGTAGGCTGGTGTACGACACCACCGTCAGCGAGGCTGGTGTAGCGACGACACCACCGAGGCTGGTGTAGCGACGACACCGTCAGCGAGGCTGGTGTAGCACGACACCACCGTCAGCGTGGCTGGTGTAGCGACGACACCACCGTCAGCGTCAGCGTGGCTGGTGTAGCGACGACACCACCGTCAGCGAGGCTGGTGTAGCGAGGCTGGCGACGACACCACCGTCAGCGAGGCTGGTGTAGCGACGACACCACCGTCAGCGAGGCTGGTGTAGCGACGACACCACCGTCAGCGAGGCTGGTGTAGCGACGACACCACCGTCAGCGAGGCTGGTGTAGCGACGACACCACCGTCAGCGAGGCTGGTGTAGCGACACCACCGTCAGCGAGGCTGGTGTAGCGACGACACCACCGTCAGCGAGGCTGGTGTAGCGACGACACCACCGTCAGCGTGGCTGGTGTAGCGACGACACCACCGTCAGCGAGGCTGGTGTAGCGACGACACCACCGTCAGCGTGGCTGGTGTAGCGACGACACCACCGTCAGGTCAGGAAGAACACTCTGCAGGTGTAGAGGCGCGTGTAGAGCGGCATGACGGGCGGTAGAGCCACAGGTGGCAGGAGAGAGGACACAGGTGCCACATATACACACGTGGTAGAGACGCGCCACATATACACATGTGGTACACAGGAGCGAACACTGACACAAGCGGCGCACACTGAGCCAGACGGCACACTAACATACACACTCCCAGACACACTGACACACGCACACACACCCCTCTCACCTTCCCTCCCGCACGCACACACACACACACACACACACACACACACACACACACCACCTCTACACATCTTGTTGTGACGCAGCACACCCGGCCGCCACACTCTCCCCCGCAACAACACACAACTAGTACACAACCCACATGTATATTTGTATATATTAGTAAATGTGCGATGTGTAGGGATGGTTTGGAGCGGCGGTGGTGGAGGAGGAGGGGAGCGGCGGGGGGAGGGGAGCGGCGGGGTGGTGGGGGAGGGGGAGGGGAGCGGCGGGGAGGGGAGGGGAGGGGCGGGGATGGGTGGGGGAGGGGGCGGGGCCGGGGTGGGAGGGGAAGAAGGAAAGGCTGCCACCTAATTATTACTTCACTTAACTCTGCATCAACACCACCCGCCGCCGCCGTCACCTCCTGTGTCCATCCTGTCCTGACACATATGTCATGTGTCAACACCTTGGTCACCCGGGTGTTACACCTGTCATGGCGGCCAGGGGCACACCTGTCATGGCGGCCAGGGACACACCTGGGGGCGGAGTCAGGCCTTGGGGAGTGGGGCCCATGTGGTGGGAGGAGACTAGACCCTTGTGGGAGGGGCCTAGACCCTTGTGGGAGGGGCCTAGACCCTTGTGGGAGGGGCCTAGACCCTGGTGGGAGGGGCCTAGACCCTGGTGGGAGGGGCCTAGACCCTGGTGGGAGGGGCCTAGACCCTGGTGGTAGGGGCCTAGACCCTGGTGGTAGGGGCCAGACCCTGGTGGTAGGGGCCTAGACCCTGGTGGGAGGAGCCAGACCCTGGTGGGAGGGGCCTAGACCCTGGTGGGAGGAGCCTAGACCCTGGTGGTAGGGGCCTAGACCCTGGTGGGAGGGGCCTAGACCCTGGTGGGAGGAGCCAGACCCTGGTGGGAGGGGCCTAGACCCTGGTGGGAGGAGCCTAGACCCTGGTGGTAGGGGCCTAGACCCTGGTGGGAGGGGCCTAGACCCTGGTGGGAGGAGGCAGACCCTGGTGGGAGGGGCCAGACCCTGGTGGGAGGGGCCAGACCCTGGTGGGAGGGGCCAGACCCTGGTGGGAGGGGCCAGACCCTGGTGGGAGGGGCCAGACCCTGGTGGAAGGGGCCAGACCCTGGTGGGAGGGCCCTAGACCCTGGTGGGAGGGGCCAGTCCCTGGTGGGAGGGGCCAGACCCTGGTGGGAGGGGCCAGACCCTGGTGGGAGGGGCCAGACCCTGGTGGGAGGGGCCAGACCCTGGTGGGAGGGGCCAGACCCTGGTGGGAGGGACCAGACCCTGGTGGGAGGGACCAGACCCTGGTGGGAGGGACCAGACCCTGGTGGGAGGGACCAGACCCTGGTGGGAGGGACCAGACCCTGGTGGGAGGGACCAGACCCTGGTGGGAGGGGCCAGACCCTGGTGGGAGGGGCCAGACCCTGGTGGGAGGGACCAGACCCTGGTGGGAGGGGCCTAGACCCTGGTGGGAGGGGCCAGACCCTGGTGGGAGGGACCAGACCCTGGTGGGAGGGACCAGACCCTGGTGGGAGGGGCCAGACCCTGGTGGGAGGGGCCAGACCCTGGTGGGAGGGGCCAGACCCTGGTGGGAGGGACCAGACCCTGGTGGGAGGGACCAGACCCTGGTGGGAGGGGCCTAGACCCTGGTGGGAGGGGCCAGACCCTGGTGGGAGGGACCAGACCCTGGTGGGAGGGGCCTAGACCCTGGTGGGAGGGGCCAGACCCTGGTGGGAGGGACCAGACCCTGGTGGGAGGGACCAGACCCTGGTGGGAGGGGCCAGTGGAACAGGTGGAGCATGGCCTGAGGCGGGAAGGGGTGCAGCGGGGAGAGGGGGGACTTGAGGGATAATGAAAGGGGGTGAGGCAGTTACCTGGTGGGGAGGAGCCCGTGAGAGATGGGGAGAGGTGATGGAGACGGAAGGGGGAGGGAGGGAGAGGTGAGGGAGGGGAGAGGGAGGGAGAAGCGAGGAGGAACTTCCTCGCCAGACAACTTCTCTCACATTAACATTTACAACAAAGATCAACTGGCAAACGAGAACTGGTGAGTTTTTACCTCCAGTCCCGTGGTGGGACGTGGCCCACCAGTCCCGTGGTGGGACGTGGCCCTCCAGTCCCGTGGTGGGACGTGGCCCACCAGTCCCGTGGTGGGACGTGGCCCACCAGTCCCGTAGTGGGACGTGGCCCACCAGTCCCGTGGTGGGACGTGGCCCACCAGTCCCGTGGTGGGACGTGGCCCACCAGTCCCGTGGTGGGACGTGGCCCTCCAGTCCCGTGGTGGGACGTGGCCCACCAGTCCCGTGGTGGGACGTGGCCCACCAGTCCCGTGGTGGGACGTGGCCCACCAGTCCCGTTTTGGGAAGTGGCCCACCAGTCCCGTAGTGGGACGTGGCCCACTAGTCCCGTGGTAGGACGTGGCCCTCCAGTCCCGTGGTGGGACGTGGCCCACCAGTCCCGTGGTGGGACGTGGCCCACTAGTCCCGTGGTAGGACGTGGCCCTCCAGTCCCGTGGTGGGACGGGGCCCACCAGTCCCGTGGTGGGACGTGGCCCTCCACATATATGGCCCTCTCAAGTGTGACTGCAACACGTGTAGACACACATGGGAGTGTTCACATATGACTGCTCCAAAGGGGTCATTTAAGCATGCACACGTGTAGAAACACATGTTACCTTGAGGTGCTTCCGGGGCTTAGCGTCCCCGCGGCCCGGTCGTCGACCAGGCCTCCTGTGAAGAGCCTTACGAAACACTGGCCAGCCAGCTGGTGAAGGAGAGCCAACTAAGGCACCAGGAGGATAAACATTGTGTCAGCAAGGCGGACAGTCCGCCAGCTATCATTACTTACACCCTCCACCACAACACCAACTTACTACCTCCCGCCCCTCACTCTCCACCCATCACTCACTCTCCCACACTTCCTTCCCCCCCCCACCCATTCACTCTCTTCCCTTACCCACCACCTGCGCTAAACCCCCCCCCCTTTCCCTTCCCGCCACACCTGTACCACAACCCCACACCTGTGTACACCCCTACACCTTCCCTGACAACACTACCCTACACCTCTACACACACACACACACACACACACACACAGACACACACACACACACACACACACACACACACACACACACACACACACACACACACAGACACAGACACAGACACAGACACACAGACACAGACACAGACACACACACACACACACACGCACACACACACACACAGACACACACACACACACACACACACACACACACACACACACACACACACACACACACACACACACACACACACACACACACACACACACAGACACACACACACAGACACACACACACAGACACACACACACAGACACACACACACAGACACACACACACAGACACACACACACACACACACACACACACACACACACACACACACACACACACACACACACACACAGACACACACACACACAGACACACACACACACAGACACACACACACACAGAGGGAAGGTACTCCGGTGGATAGAGGAATACCTAAGCAACAGGAGACAACGAGTCTGTGTGAGGGGTGAGGTCTCAGATTGGCGAGACGTCACAAGTGGAGTCCCGCAGGGGTCAGTCCTTGGACCTATACTGTTTCTGGTATATGTAAATGATCTCCCAGAGGGTATAGATTCGTTCCTCTCAATGTTTGCCGACGATGCAAAAATTATGAGGAGGATTGAAACAGAGGATGATAGTAGGAGGCTACAAGATGACCTGGATAGACTGAGTGAATGGTCCAACAAATGGCTGTTGAAGTTCAACCCGAGTAAATGCAAAGTAATGAAACTAGGCAGTGGAAACAGGAGGCCAGGCACAGGATACAGAATAGGAGATGAAGTACTTAATGAAACAGACAGAGAGAAAGATCTAGGAGTTGATATCACACCAAACCTGTCTCCTGAAGCCCACATAAAGAGAATAACGTCTGCGGCATATGCGAGGCTGGCTAACATCAGAACGGCGTTCAGGAACCTGTGTAAGGAATCATTCAGAATCTTGTACACCACATATGTAAGACCAATCCTGGAGTATGCGGCCCCAGCATGGAGCCCGTACCTTGTCAAGCACAAGACGAAGCTGGAAAAAGTCCAAAGGTATGCTACTAGACTAGTCCCAGAACTAAGAGGCATGAGTTATGAGGAAAGGCTGCGGGAAATGCACCTCACGACACTGGAAGACAGAAGAGTAAGGGGGGACATGATCACAACCTACAAAATCCTCAGGGGAATCGACCGGGTAAACAAGGACGAACTTTTCAACACTGGTGGGACGCGAACAAGGGGACACAGGTGGAAGCTGAGTACCCAAATGAGCCACAGAGACGTTAGAAAGAACTTTTTCAGTGTCAGAGTAGTTAGCAAATGGAATGCATTAGGAAGTGATGTGGTGGAGGCTGACTCCATTCACAGTTTCAAATGTAGATATGATAGAGCCCAATAGGCTCAGGAATCTGTACACCAGTTGATTGACGGTTGAGAGGCGGGACCAAAGAGCCAGAGCTCAACCCCCGCAAGCACAATTAGGTAAGTACAATTAGGTAAGTACACAGACACACACACACAGACACACACACACACAGACACACACACACACAGACACACACACACACAGACACACACACACACAGACACACACACACAGGGGGGCCTCGTAGCCTGGTGGATAGCGCGCAGGACTCGTAATTCTGTGGCGCGGGTTCGATTCCCGCACGAGGCAGAAACAAATGGGCAACGTTTCTTTCACCCTGAATGCCCCTGTTACCTAGCAGTAAATAGGTACCTGGGAGTTAGTCAGCTGTCACGGGCTGCTTCCTGGGGTGTGTGTGTGTGTGTGTGTGTGTGGTGTGGGAAAAAAAAAAAAAAAAAAAGTAGTTAGTAAACAGTTGATTGACAGTTGAGAGGCGGGCCGAAAGAGCAAAGCTCAACCCCCGCAAAAAC